AAAAAAAAAAAAAAAAAAAAAAAAAAAAAAAAAAAAAAAAAAGAATTTTCTTGTAATTTTTAACTGATCTAAAAAGGTTTTAAAGGGGCTGGAGAGATGGCTCAGTAGTTAACAGTATTCAATTGCTTACCCTCCTACCAGGCTACACTTGCCTATAACTCCAGCTCCAATGGACCTGACACCTCTGGTTTTCATGGCACTTGCACTCACACACCCATAACCAACCATGCAGGGACACAAGTGAACACACGTAATTAAAAGTAAAAAGGATTTTTATTTTTTAAAAGGTTTTAAAAATAGAAAATAGGTACATACATGATTTTTGCTGTTTTCTGCAGACTGCACAAGGAAAAAAAAATAGGAAGCTTGTGAAGAAGTTCCTAAATCTGCAATTCAAAACTTTTAACAATACTATAATTGATTTTACCTGTTTGTGTATTTTTTATCATCTTCCTTTTGATTAACCCAGAATTTTCCTGGAAGTGATTTGTTAGACAAATAATACCTACGTAATTATTAAGGAAACTTAATATTAAAGTCATAATTCTTATATAATATTAAGTACGCAGACTGGTGAAGACATTCAAATGTAATCAAAACCTATTCTTCTTGAAGCTTGCCCAGGGCTGTGAGTCCATGCTTTACATGTTACCTGTAGGAATGATCACATATCAAAACACAAAACACAATGCCTGCACCACAGCAATGCTGGTTTCCCTTCTCTTCTCTACCACAAGTGACTAAGAAAAGTAGCTCAATTTTTTTCTTTTCTACAATTTGAATAGTAAAATAGATGAATTTGTTGTGCTGGCTAAATTGGGAACCATTGTTTCCATATTTTTAAAAGTCACAGTAAAGCGTTCAGGATTCTTCTATACACTAATACAAACAACATCAATTTTGCTAAGAAACGGCCCCCTCAGCATTGCTGGAACTAGCTGCTAGAGTCTCCTGGCAATTGGACTAGGACTCATCCTGAGTACACAAACTGGCTTTTTTAGAGCCCATCAGCTACGGTGCCATGCCTTACTCAGCCTTGATACAGGGAGGAGGGGCTTGGGCCTACCCCAACTTTGTATGCCAGCCTGTGTTGAATACCCAAGGGAGGCCTTACCCCCTATGAGGAGTGGGTAGGGGTGGGATAGGGGAAGGTGGGAGGCAGTGGGAGAAGGGAAGGAAGGGGGAACAGTGGGCAATATGTAAAATGGGAAAAAAAAAACTTTAAATAAACAAGTAAACCTTAACAAAAAAAACCTGTTCTCTTAAATCTGAACTATTCTTTATTCAGCAAATATCAACTACATGTCACGTTAGGCTATGTACTAGAGATTCTCCTTATCCTCTAAAATATATTAAGAGTCTAAATGCTTAAGTTTAATTCTTACTTGTTTCTACATCTGGAAGTAAACAAGTGACTACTTGAGTGTTCAATAACCTAGAATTGCACTGCTCAATATTATGGGTACTAGTCAAATGTGTGGATCAATCATCTGGAAAACAACTAGCATTAACTGAGATGTAATGCTAAAATAGAATGTATCATGGATTCTAAAAACTTAGTATGAAATGTTAATGATGTTTTCATTTGGGGATGGGGACATGGCTCAATCAGTGTCTGCTATACGATCTTAAGTATCTAAAAAGGATCCCTAGTGTTCACGTAAAAAGCTAGGAGCCGTAGTTTTGTGCACATACAATCCCAGTACTAGGAGGCAGACACGGGTGGATCCCTAGAGCCTCTGACTAGCTAGCTAGTCACATCAGTGAGCTTCAGGTTCATAGGAATCCTCACCTCAAAAGATAATTTGGAGAGTGAATAAAGAAAACACCTGAAGTCAACCACATACAAACATGTGCCTGCATGCCCGAGAGTACTCACACACACATGCACGCACACACACACACACACACACACACACACACACACCACACAATTTTCATATAAGCTAATATTTTTAAAAAAATATGTTGTAAAAAATTCTATGGTATAAAAATTCATTTATTTTATTTTAAATGAGGCTATTAGGAATTTGGAAATTATATGTGCTGCTCATTAAAAAAAATAATCTAGGCAATATCTGGGGAGAGTTACGGAGTAAAGGGCTAACCAATGGCAATTAAAGACATAGAAAACATTCTTAAATTAACAGAAGCAGTTGGGAATAAAATAACAGAAACTCTGGATTAAGCAGTGGACAGAGAGGGCTGGAGAGATGGTTCAGCAATTAAACACTAACTGCTATTCCAGAAGACCTGAGTTCGATTCCAGCACCCCGTGGCAGCTCTCAACTCTAACTCCAGTTCCAGATCTGACCACATTATCTCCACAGGCACAAGGAACACAAGAGGTTCACAGATATACATGTAAACAAAACGCACACATAAATAATGATAACAATAATAGTGGACAGATATCCATAAAATGCATATGAAAAAGTTAAAAATAAGCCACTATTCATTAGTAATCTTTAAAAGCCAGAAAATCAGAAATTACTAATTTCTTAAATTTTCTGAAATTACTGATGTCCTCTCATTTGACATAAGAAAACTGTGTCTAAAGAAGTTACACTGAAGCCAGGCGGTGGTGGCGCACACCTTTAATCCCAGCACTTGGGAGGCAGAGCCAGGTGGATCTCTGTGAGTTCGAGGCCAGCCTGGGCTACCAAGTGAGCTCCAGGAAAGGCGCAAAGCTACGCAGAGAAACCCTGTCTCGAAAAACCAAAAAAAAAAAAAAAAGAAGTTACACTGAAGTCAATCAGGATAAGCAGTCAGCTGCTGAGCGAAAATAAAGACCTACAACCTCTGGGGTGGGGGATCAATTATATTTTGTGTTTTTCATTTAAAATTCCTCTCATATAACATCTGTAAACTGCAGAGTATAATGTGAAAATTTCCACATGTTTTAATTGTGTGCCTCACACAGATAAGTATCTCTGAGTTTTAGCTTTTATTACTTTGAAAATGGAGGCTTAGAATTAAGGTTCTGGCTTAAATATTTTATCATTTCTATGTAATATGTACACTCTACATGCAGACACGGCTGACAACAAAAACACTGTGTCAGTCTCAGATGCAGCAGTAAAAGATGCTCATTTTTGCATAGATAAGTGACATGAAATTACACAATTGAAGTCTGTGGCCAAAAAGTCATCTAGTAATTACAAAGGCCTCTTCTGTAATGTTTGCACTCATCCATTTTTAACCCTGAAACCTTTACTCGTCTCATAACGATGAAGGATACTCTTCTTCCAACAGCATTTTCTCAATGACAGCTCTGTTCTCATCACTGATGGTGCTATCCAGAGTCCAAGGCTATTTAAAAGAAACAATGGAATGTATAACTCTATATATTTCATTACTTAAAAAGTTATCTTATTTCGTTGAGTGAAATAATATAAATGATAACAGCTACAACTCACTGAATGGGCACACAGCCACATTTTGACTTCCACAATCACTCTGAGACAGGCATACATAGTCCACAGAGGCATCTGCAGCACTGGTGGCATTTTCAGTGGAAGAGAAGAAACCTCACATTAAAGCCTGTTGGATTCCAAGGCTCATACCCTTACTTGTAAGCAGTAATAATGGCTGCCATTCACAAAAGAACTCCTAGGCTTCAGGCATTTTGCTGAACACTTAATTTGTTTCCCAAACCCAATTCTGTTTTTTCTAAGCCACATCCTGAGTAAATGATCATACTCATTTCAATTCTCAAAGTTACAAAATTTTTAACTCCTATCCCTTCAAGCTCCAGACTACTATGGTCACTACCCATATAAGATCTCCCTTTGAATGTCTAACTGGCTTCTCAAATGAAACATATTCCAAACAGAATTCAGTATCACCTGTCTTCATCTGCCTTTCCAACTTTGCAAAGAGCACTGTCAACCACTTAAACAGCCAGGAGTCATTATGGATTCTTCCCTTTCTCTTCCATTCCCACACGCAATCTACTAAACAGTTCTACCTTTAAACTCTAATTTAAACTTGTCTAATTACATACACCTCCTCTGGAACATACAGGACCAAGCCACTATCTAAAAGCTTGCTTGGATTATTGCAAGTGGTTCCTAATCAGTCCCTCTGCTTCTACTCTTGCTTCCCCCTAGTCTTTCCTTTACCACAGCACCCAAAGCATATTTGACAAAAAATTAATCCACTAGTCTGTACTGAAAGTTATAGAAATGTTTCAATGATGTCTTGGCTTTTGCACTCACTATTCCTTCTGCCTGGCATGTTAGTTTTTTGTAATTCATTTATCCATTTGTTACATTTCAACTTAAATGTCACCTCCTTGGTCCTTTATTGACTTTTCCTCAAGTATTTCCCCACCCTACTAACCTCAGTCAACACTGCTTATTTCTTTCACAGTCTACATGGTTTGTCTGCCTATTTATTGCCAGACTCCTGTTTTGTCTATAGACTTGATGAGAGCAAAGTCCTAGCTATCTTGACGACACTCTGAGTGTTAACCTGCCCTACTGTCTGGGATGGTATGTATGCAGTTACTGCTAAATGAAGACGTGAACTCCGTGATTATGCCCATCTTTCACTTGAGGAAACCAAAGGTGACAAATATGTGGAATGGGAAAGATCTACACCTAAATCAAACTCGATCTAAATTTCTAAATTTCTCAAGAGATCATTTGTTTTAATAGTTGAAAAAAAAAAAAGGTTCCTCTATTGTTAAAGCGTTTCCATATACTACCTCTGTGATTGTAGAGAATTAGACTTAGTTAAAAAAGGAAAAGAGGCACTCTGGGCAACTAGCAGCAGTGTGAAGTCACCTGACTTAGCATACTTACAAGACAGCCATTCTCCCTTCTCCACGTTGAATCAAGATAGTGATCGTGAAAAATTGATGCTGTATGATTTTCCTCATTTCTGTAGTAATACAAAAATTAATAGAAGAGTGATATTATGTTCCTTTACAGCTATAACTCACACAGGACAGGGGCTGGCTAGTTGTTGATGCTAAGCAAATCCCTTCTCTCCTTAACAAAGACTGAACACTACAACGTACCTGCTCTGCCTTGTAAGCCTGTGAGGAAAAACTAGGATGCAGCACAACCGCCCCAACATGCTGCGCCCACAGCCACCACCTGAGTCTTGGCTGACTAAGTCTACATATGCACATACAAACTATAGCTAAATCTTCTAGAAATATCAAAGACACAAACCTCACCACCCTCAAAAGGAAGAAAAAACAAAATAAAACTAATGTACGAAGCAAAATAAAAACTACTGAAGAAATTTAGTAACAACTTAATTTTAAAAGTAATTTGATTTGGAAGTTTCTGGATCCATGAGATCAAAGTTTACTAATTTTGTCATTTTTTTCCATTGAAATAATAAGTACAATATATGTTTCACTTGCAAGACTGAACAGTCAGGTTTTGGAGGGTCTCAAGGTATGATATCAAATTCAAACACACAAAAGGTAAATATAAATTTACATTTCCTAGTGAAGTTATTGACTTTTCCTGACCTAACCTAGTGCTAAGACACTTACTCTATGGACTGAAAACATTCTCTCAACTGTTGATACTGAACAGCTTTAAACTCATGTCAACCGTGAGTCCAAGGAGACTAATAAAGGCTTCTACGACCGTGTCTGCAGAAGGAAACCTTTGTACAAACAACTAGGTCTGCCAAGAGTTCAAGAGGTGGGCCTATCATTTCCAGTTCACGGCAGAAATCTTTTCACAATATACCACCGTGAGGATTAACAACACAACACTGTGATATATGTATCTCAACACCTATCTGAATCTCCTTTACATGAGTAAGCTTAAAACAACCTTTCCTCCCAAGTCTCCCAGGCTTCCAGTTTCCTCTCTTGCCTGCGACCCCCCTCCCCCGAAACCTCAATCTCCCTAACGGTCCAAGCCAGAAATCTAAGTTTGCTCCTTTTTCTTCACAACCCAATTCAGTCTGCCCCCTTTCTTTCACTGTTTCCACTCTCTGTTCCAAGGGCCCACAGTTGCACACCTTAAGAGCCTTCCTAGGTCAGTGCACAAGAAAAAGCTGGCAAGCCATCAGGATCATCTTCCTTCACCCTTGTCCATTTATCTCCATCAAACACACACACAAGGTTTATTGTCTGTTCCACTTTTATGACAGCAGGGGCTTCATTTTCACATTGCTATGTATACCCAGGGGGTGACATACAGAATGTAATCAACAGTTGAATGAATGAGTAAACAAGGCAGGTAGGTAATGGACTAGAGGTCTGTAATAGTTAAGGAATGAATACTTTACCACAAAACTACCCAGGCATGGTGGTACTTAACTGTAATCCCAGAACTTAGGAGGTAGAGGCAGGAGGATGAGGAGTCAGTCCAATACACAGCAAGGCCAGCCTGAGCTATATGAGAATCTGTCTCAAACAAAACAAGATGACACAATAAAAAACAAACAAACAAACAAAAAAAAAACCTTTACCTTAAAACCAACTGAAAACTGAAGGTAATAACATAATCAAACTTGGATGTAACAAAGACTTAACTTTAGGGGCGAAAGGGGACCAAGAAAAATAGTGGTAGAAGAAATAATTATAAAAATACCACAGAAATACAGCAATGAAAAAGCAGTATGAGCAAGAAAAGTGTTGTTTGAGAGGATACTTACTACCAATGGGTCTTTAATAACTGACCTGACCAGATGGGGGAGTAGAAAATGGGGTGACAGAAATGGGAGGGAGTTCAGGTCTGTGCCTTGAGAGTGGCTAGATGCTGCTGTCATGTACTGAACAGCGACAGATCTTAAAGAAGGAAGTCGATAAAGTGATGCTGAGGTACTTGTGAGACACACACAAGCTGGTGGCTTCCAATTAAGAGTCCTGATCTGAAGCTCAGAGGGAGAGGTGGCTCAGTGAAGGAATAGGGAAAGCAAGTATTAGGTGGAATGTAAGGAACTGTATCTTTCTACATCAGAATGGCAGAGAGCAAATCAACTTAAAAGAAATTAAGTCAGGAGAGATGCCAGGCTCAGAAATATCACTAGGTATGGCAGAGAGCACAAGACTTATGGAAAAACACCTTTCAACAACAAGGTCTCTAAAAGCATACAGAAAAGGAAGATGAGAAGAAATAATAGTTGAAGGAAAACCAAAATGCAATGTTTCATTTTTGTACCTAGCTTTCAGTACGCACTTAAAAGCATTATGTTTCAAATTAATCCTCAAGAACACCTTAAATGCTATTGTCCCCTGTGATACCACACCTTAAGGGGCACCAGTCACACTCAATTCAAGATGATTCTAACTCCAGCATTACAGGGCACCATTCCGTCAATAATACTCCTTAAGCAGTGGCTGACATCAGGAACCTTCATAATCCTGCAAGCATGGTGAATGAGGAAAAAAAAAGGAAGGACATGACTGCTCCTAGGCATGGTGGAGGAGAAAGTTTATTGTAGATAAAAGGGAGAGCATGGGCAGAGGTTGAAACATTTGGCAGAGTCCAGAGTGAACTTGACCCCGAGTGGAACCAGGTGAGGAGACAGAGAAGGGAGAGGAGCCACCAACCAAGAGAGTAAAAGGTAGACCAAAAGGACCAAGTAACCAAAATGGCTGGATTATAAAGGGAAGAGCTGGGGGAAGGGAAGTCCAGTCCTAGGGCTGGAGGAATTTAGGGTAGGGCCCAGGGTATGCCAGCCATAACTTGTAACAGGTAAGGACTGAGGGATGCTAGGAAAACCTGGAGGAGTTCTGGGGTTTGGGGGTTTTTGTTTGTTTGTTTTTTCCTTTTTCAAGACAGAGTTTCGTTGTGTAACAGTCCTGGCTGTCCTGGAACACACTCTGTAGACCAGGCTGGCCTCGAACTCACAGAGATCCACCTGCCTCTGCCTCCCAGGTGCTGGGATTGAAGGCATGTACCACCACTGCCCAGCTAATGTCAATGGGCACCTCAGCCACTTGTCCTGGGTTTGAGACCTAACACATAAGGTTAACCATTACAAATGCCACCAGTAGACTCTTGTCAAGAAAATGGTACAACAAGAAAAAGGGTGAAAAACTAAACACAGCCAGAAAAGTTAAGATAAACCTATGAAAATGGCATAGAGCCAATGCTCTCAGGTAATGCTGCCTGAACCCAAGGTGAATTCATTCCTTTATGAATTCCAAACAACTGTCCTTGCCCACTTAGCTCACTGACTTGACAAGTCTTACTGACTTACTTAAAAACCTCAAACTCACAAGCACTTGTTTAAGACTGAATAAGTACACCAATGTAAAGAACTGTTGTTATCTCAGGCTACCCGAAATAGCTTTTCAATTGTTCTGCTGAAGAACTTCAGAGAAAAAATAATCAAATGAACTTAACTACCCCTCACGTTATTATCACCGTTGTAAGAGTTCATAAACGTCCCTTATTATGGTACCTCATAGGGGAGGACTGGTACTCTTATACAGTTGAGCAGCTCTCCTGTCAGATGAATTTTACGAGACTGCCACTATACAGGACCCAAATAAGCCAATATTAGTAACAGCACACAGGTCAACAGCGTTCTAACGAAGTTTGCTGACAAGGTACAAGTAATGTAACTGGCTGCATTTACAACTCAGGTCTTCTGGCTTCTACCTGAGTTCCCACTTTGGCTCCCATTACTTAAAAGGAGGGATAATTCTTACTGCTAAAGCAAGGTGTCAAATCAGGTTCAGTTTAAAACCACACTGCCCGTCCTGCAGGCACTGGTATTTAACAACATCGCTCACTGGATCTTCACTGTATTATCCCTAAAACTGTAGAGAACAATGTCGAGCATCTTACATAGGCTAAAGCATCTTTCGCAATTACTTCATCGAGGCTCACAACAGAAAGACAGACACCTGATTCTTGGTTTCCAAGCAAGTGAGCAGAGGCTCAAATGCCTTGGCCACGGTCACAATGACAGTAGACAGGAAGAGAAATGCAGAAGGGAAACCTGAATTGTCCAGCTATAAAACCTGGACCCCACCCCCTGAATTAAGCTGCCGCTCCGCAAGTTTTCACAACTTTCTCTGCGAAGAAGGAACCAAACGCCTTGACCAAGGTCGCTTGCGGACGCAGAACCAAGTGTCTATGAAGTCAGGTCCCGTGGACTAGACGCCCGTGTTCAAGTTGCTGTGAGGGGCCTGAGACAGAGCGCAAGCAGAAAGGAATCCGAATCGGAACGCGTCCACCGCATTCCGGGAAGCAGAGCAAAACAGTCTGGTCCCGGCGGCGCTCAGGCCACGCCCCGACCCGCAGACCCAGCCGACTTCCGGCCGGGAGCAGCCCGAGTCCCGACGCCGTCCACGCGGACCCGGAGACCGCATCCTCCGGCCCTCGCCTAGCACCGCCTGGCCCGCAGGACCCCGCTCCGCGCCTCACCCCGGCTGTGCGGCCGCCACCACCTCTCCTTCCACATCCACATCCGCCTCCTCCGCCTCCATGACTGCACCTGACCCGGGCGTACTCGCGAGATCCCGCGAGATGCAGCCAGCCGGGCCGGGGCCGGGCCGGGGGCGGGGCCTGCAGTGTTGCGCACGCGGCTGGGGAGGCGGGGCTTCCGGGGAAAGGTGCTGGCTGGCAGGAGAGACCTGGGGAGATTGACTGTGAAAAACTTCCCCCCAACACACACACCTTTCCACCCTCAGTTCCCGTCCAGGCCCCTGGACACTGGGGTATCTCACTTCTCTCACGTGTTATTTGAGATTACTCACAGCAGGTATCTTTCCTTTCGGACGAGAGACCCTACTTTGTGCGTGTGGCAACGATTGCCTCTGGTTCTATTTAAACACACACACACACACACACACACACACACACACACACACACACACACACACACACTCGTATTCACTCGCCTCCCACAGTGAATTCTTAAAATGACCCAGTGGGATAGGCGCAGGTTTTATGGATTTTATGTCACCGATAAGGAAACAGGCTCAGAAAGTTGATGTGATCGTCCAAGCATAGAGCTAGGAAGACTAGCCTCGTAAACTCTGTCCTCCGAGTGCTCACCCTATACAAATCATTGCTGGGAAGCAAAGAACTTAAGGTTTTCCAAGAAATTAGATACCACCTCTATGTACTTCTCTGCCTTAGAATCTTTCATATAGTTAGAATCCTTGGCTCACGGTCTTCTCCGCTATTGGACTGTGACTTCCTTAAGGACAAAGCCTGTCTGGTAGTCCTTACACCGTCAGCATTCAGCATGGTGTCTCACACATAGTAGGAACTTAATAAATGTTGAGCGTGTCGATAAAGTAGGCTATTTCACACCTCAGTCTGAGAGTATGATGACAAGAGATGGGGAAAGAAATGTGTAAAATGAGTGCCCGGTACTCAGGAACCGAACAGTGTGAGGTTTAACCTCAAGACAACCTGGAGCTACATTTTCTGAAGTTCTGTTTTGTTTGTTTACCTATTATCAAAGGACTTATCCAGTAACCAATGCTAACAGCTCGCCTGACACAGAATAGGCATTTAGAGATGTCTACTGAATTTAACCTGGGAAATGCAAAATGAAGACATTCGTCTCTAACTCAGGTTGAAAAGAACCAAGAAAAAAAAATGTCAGCGAATATTGCAGTACCCACTACTCAGGCAGGATCAGGAATGGTGCCTATTTTCATTGCACCGTGTGAGAAGCTGAGGAAGCCTTGACTGAATGTGTACAGAGTGATTGAAATCCCAAGTGAATGTGTATTGTTATGTGTACAGCCATATCAAGTACCCAATGCCTCAGACCCATGGAGCAGCCATCCCAGTCGGGGTCAGGCTCAGAATGGCAAAGCCTTCCTGTGGTCCAGGTAGGAGTGTCTATGAACAATTGACCACCGTGGGCAAAAACTAGAAAGTGTAGCTTCTTCCTCCTGGGTGTTTACAGCTTGAGACTGCTTCCCTGCAGAGACCTCCTAGAGACTAGCTTACTCATACCCCTGTGCTGTACATAATAATGGTGCTGAGGTTCTGCACTGTGGGCTCTGTGTTGTGGGTGGAGTTTGTGTCACTCCATCAGAGTGTGCTCAGCCCACCTGACCCCAGCTTTTTTGTGTATATGTCTGTTGTTTCTTTAGTTCTCTCTTGGCTTCATTCTCTCATCACACCAGCCATGTTTCAAGGACCACACCCATGCAAGACAGCAAGATTGCAGCACAGACTAGAAATCCTCATCATTCATGGAGTAGACAATATGAAGGATATGGCCTAGGTAGTAAAGCCCAATAGCTGTGGGTCAATAGGCCATTGCTTTGGCGCTGCCCAGCAAACAAACACAAAACCTGAAAGGATAAACTGTTTCCAGGTAGCTTAACTGCATTATCACCTTCAAACAATATGCAGAATAAAAAGTACTTAGCTATATCAAGGTAAAGTTACAATGTCTGGCATCCAATAGCTAGACATTCAAAGTAAGAAAATAAAAGTCATAGAAAGGAAATGGTGATCCATTGAAATCCATTTGGTTCTGACACAGATGTTAAGGGAGTTGCTATTCGTAGGACATTTCCATGTGAGAGTCCCTATGTTAAAACTGACATGTGAGAATCCCTAAGCTAGAACATTACAATATTGATTATAAGTGTACTCTGTGTTTAAAAAGTTAAATAGATACATAGACAATATAAAAAGGGTGACATTGATCTTTGGAAATGGAAAGTATATTTCCAGAGATGAAGAACACATTTTATAGGACTAATGGAAGAGCAGATATTTCTGAAGAAAGAATCAGTGAACTTGACCATATAACAAAATAAACCATCCAAATGAAATACACAGAGTGACAGAAATAAATAAATAAATAAAAATGGGCAAGGAATCACTGAGCTGTCCAATGAGCAACTTTGAACATCTTACTACATAAGCAATTAGAATCTCTGGAAAACAGATCAGTAAAACATTTAAGAAGATGGCTGAAGGTATTTCCTATTTTGAGGAAAATAATAAATTAATAGATTCAAGGAAACTCCACAAACAAATGATACTGTACTAAGATCAGTTGTAATAAAATTACTCAAAACCATTAGACAAAGACTAGTCAACCTAAAGATCTACTTCTAGTACACCAACTTTCCAAACATGAGAAGTAGTCTTTTGTTTTGTTTTGTTTTGAGGCAGAGCTTGCTATGTAGCTCAGACTTGCCATGAACTCAGAATCCTCTTGCCTTCGTCACCAGAGTGCTGGGATTATAGGCATGCACTACTGTTCCCAACAAAAATTTTTGGAAGATATACAAAATATGGAAGATCAAAAATTATTAAGCAACATCCTTCAAGAAGAAGGAAGTTATATGAGATGAAACTGGAACTACATAAAAAAACGAGGAACACAGGATACATATGTAAAACTCTGTGTATGTGTTGGGGAGCTATATAAATGCTTATATCTTTGTGCGTATACATGTCAGCTTAAGTGTAGATACATTACAGTGGCCAGAAGTAAATGTCAAATATCTTCCTCTATCAGTTTCTACCTGTGTTTTGATACAGAATCTCTCACTGAACCTGGAGAGACTCATCCAGCAAGACTAGCTGGCCAGCAAGTTAATATCTCTGCTTCCCCAAGTTAGGCACATTGCACAAAACTCCACTTTTCACCTGGGGATCTGAACTCAGGTCCTCATATTGCGCAGCAGGTCCTTTACTGCCTGAATCATCTCTATAGCTCCATAAGCAAAAATTTTCCTTAGTATTAAATCTAAGATTATTAACTGTTAAAAAAGTAGGCCAAGCATGGTAATATATTCCAGTGTTACAGAGGTGGAGGTGGGAGGATCAAGGTCAGTCTGGGCTAGTAATAGAAGTGATGATGATGGTGATGACAACTAATGAAGTATGAGATTCATAAAATATATGACATCAATGTATAAAGTCTAGGAAGAACATTATCAATTTGACCACATCTGGAATCAACTAAAACCTGAGCAGCTGGCCATGCCTGTGAGGGGTTTACTTAATTGGATTATCTGAGGCAGGAAGACCTCCCCTCAATATGGGCCACACCTTCTGGTTGCAGTCCACACAAAAGGACATGGAAAAAGAAAGCTTTTGTTTTTTGCCCCCACTCTTGCTGGCTATCCTGCTGCTGAAGCATTCCTTCATTAGTACTAGAACGTAGTTCTTCAGGATTCCAACATAGACTGAAGACCACCAACTCCCTAGGAATCCTCCGGAACTGCAGCATCAGATTGGGACTGCTGAGGCAGGCAGTCTCACAGACTGAACAATCTCCAAGTTTTGGACCTTCCATTAAGAGACAGCCATGGTTGGACTACCCAGACCACAGCCTGAAGGTATTCTAATAAACACACACACACACACACACACACACACACACACACACACACACACACACACACACAATCAGTTTTATTCATTTAGGGAACCCTGACTGATACCCAGCCTCCATTTAGGGATGAGGAAAAAAGATCCTGAGAGTTATTGTTACAGGGCTAACAAGTTCCAGAGCTGACACCCCAGCTCCAGCCTTTCCCAGTCTGCTTGCTCTGTTATTATGTCCATATTACAGTAGAAAGAGGAGATATTTTGCAATACTATGTCACTTGATATTTTGCCATTTGATTCAAATAGCAAGTGGATGAATTTTCTAATTTGAGGCATTTAAATCTAGAAATTAATAAAGAGTATATTTTGAGGATTGGAATCTTATGATGAGTATGCACATCTTTTTATGTGAGCAGCAAGTCCTATTTCCTTTGTGGGTTCTAAAACAATGTTATCAGAGACACCAACCTGTAAACCTTCATGGATTTTGCTAGAGGAATGTTTAGTCAATAAAGTCCCCATTTCATTTTTCAAGCTATAGTACTTTTGACCCCATTGGACAGACAGCTTGTTTATGTCTTGTTCCTCCCTACTTCTAGTGAATGAAAAAAAGAGAGCTGTGTTTGTATTGAAAAGCAAAGTATAATTGCAACTTTAATTCATAGATTCTGGCATGTTAGCATTTATGCTAATTAGTTTGTATTTTAAAGTGCTTTAAAAACAGAAAGTGTCATACAGTTGCTCTAATATTATTTCCTTATGAGTGGAACTGTCTGCTAGATGATTGCCAGAGATTTAAAAGAGTTCCCATCTTAAAAATGCAATAGCTAAACAGCAGAGAGGAAGCTCACTTTATCTATAGAGGTGATAAAATAGATGAATGCAGACATAGTTATGGACTACACTTGGCAAGCATTAGATATGGCTTCAGTTTTTCCAGGAAATTAAGCTGCATTTTCTTTTCTTTCCCCCTCTCCAATTCCCTGAAATCACATAAGGTAGCTACTGAAAATGCTGTTTTCAATATGTTGTGAGGAATGTTTGCCATTGTTCTTCTTACATTTTAATTATAATAATAATACATCCATCTGACATTAGTTGGAAGAGAATAAAAGGAGCCAGCATTAATGAGTTCCTCCTGTGTGCCAAGCATTTTACACTCATTCTTTACAGCCAGACAACATTTCTCCAAGGCAGGAATTATTTCTTTACAGATGTGTTAACTGAAGCTCAGAACAGTTAAGCAATTTACCCAAAGAAAGGTAACTTATTATCTTTTCATTACATCATGGAGTCTTGAGTACCAATAGCATCATTCTGACTTAAACCTTTTCTTCTCAGCAATCCCCAGCGTCAGGAATAGCTCCAGGTGAATGGGTGCAGATAGGTTTGGGTCATGTGACAATTTTGAGCCCAAGAGGATTCAGTTCCATTAGGACCACATGCACTAAGGAGGAATGATGGTCCTTAAACCGAAAAGAGGCTATATTTTTAGAGAAGAGAGAAAGGATACTGGGCAGGCATAAAACAAACGTCCACTGTGCTGTTCGATACTATAATTCCTCGCTGTTACTCTGTCGACACATGACCCATGTTTGTGTTACATCAGGAAAGCTGCTCAGTCTCTACATGCTTCTCGTTCTTCATCTCTAAAATGAAAATGATTAAATGACTTTTTAAAAAAGTGCCTCGGCCGCACTGTGACTGCTGCCGCCGGCACTTGCTCTGAGTGGCCCTGAGGCTCCATCTCTGCCATCATGTTTCACGGCTTCCAGAGCAGGCACCAGGACTTTTCCTTAGGGCCCTGGAAGCTGACGGTGTCCAACACCCACATCATGAAGTCTGCGGATGTGGAGACGTTAGCTGATGAATTGCATATGCCATCCCTCCCTGAAATGATGTCTGGAGACAACGTTCGAAGGATCCAGCATGGCTCTGGCTTTGGAATTGAGTTCAATGCTACAGATGCACTCAAATGTGTAAACAACGACCAAGGAATGCTTAAAGTCGCCTGTGCTGAAGAATGGCAGGAAAGTAGGACAGAGGGTGAACACTCCAAAGAAGTTATTAAACCAAATGATTGGACCTATACAGCAGATTATAAAGGAATGTTACTTGGAGAATCTCTTAAGTTAAAGGTTGTATCTACAACAGATCATATAGGTACAGAGAAATTGAAAGCCAGAGAACAGATTAAATTTTTTGAAGAAGTTCTCCTGTTTGAAGATGGATTACATGATCGTGGAGTTTCTAGTCTAAGTGTGAAAATTAGAGTAATGCCTTCCAGCTTTTTTTCTGCTATTGCGGTTTTTCTTGAGAATTCATGGGGTGCTTATCAGAATGAATGACACAAGGCTTTACCATGAGGCTGACAAGACCTACATGTTATGAGAATATACATCACGAGAGAGCAAAATTGCTAATTTAATGCATGTTCCACCGTCCCTCTTCACGGAACCTAACAAAGTATCACAGTATTTACCAATCAAAGAGGCAGTTTGTGAGAAGCTAGTATTTCCAGAAAGGATTGATCCTAACCCTGCAGACTCACAAAGTACACACTTGGAATAGAATGTGACACAGCATACTCTCCATGTGGAACCTGACAGACACCTTGGCTATCTGTAGGGATAGTTTTATTATGAGAATTAATTTCCTTGCTTATGCTCAGATTTTCTGTAGCCTTGAAGGTAAATAAAAGATCGTTGCAGGCAGCTTCTACTCAACTTCCATTTATACTGTCTGTCTTCAAATTCCTACTGGAGATATATGCTCTGGAGCTAAATTTGGATTCCTAAATTATCACAGATTGTAACCTCAGCAGCAATGATGTGTATGTCTCAGGAGGGAACATGATCTGCATCCATCCTGAAGCATTGTTTTCTCCTGTGAAGAGACTGAATTGTAAATTCCATCACTGAATCCCGATGCCTGTGACTTTGATAAGATTCTGACTGCATGTTGATGTACTGTATTGGCTCTTGGCTTTGGGCTTTCTGGTGTTTATTCGCACTTCTGGAGAGTTGTGGCGTGTCACCTAGGAAATTATTCATTAATTTGAGTTTCTGGGCAACATCATATTGTGTGTGTTTGTACATACATGTATTTTTAAAACTTTCATTTAAATGTCTTTGTCTCTGAGTAGTATTAGATTACTTATTTTGATAATTCATTGTTAAAATTGTGGATAATTAAAATAATTGACTTTAAAAAAAACAACAAATAAACAAACAAAAAAGTAGGTGGTGGGAAAGATGAGTGTATTTCTGAAGATTTTATTAGTGTATTCCGGTGAGGAATACCAAGAAAATGTGTCTTTGGCCATTTCTAAATATGGCATATACCATTTTATATTTATTTATCCAAGTGTCTTTTGTAAGAGGAGAATAAATAATAAGGAATTACGGCTTCAAAAAAAAAGTGTCTCTCAGAGGTAACATCATTTGATAATTTACTCATCTCTTAGATACTTACTGAATATTGTTATCAGTAAACAGTGAGGAATGTTGAGGTTTACATAGGTTTGTTGTATAGTTGTTAATTAGTTATCCATGGACCAAAATCAAAATGTTCTGCCTGGACTCTATACCCAGTCTCTCATTCCCTGTGCCTATTCTCTTGGGGTTTAGGTTTCCTTCCTACGTTTCAAAAGGCAGCAAGCTATGATTCAGCTCTGAACTACTGTAGTCATTTTGAAATTTTGGCTCAGAATTGCAACTACATTTTCAAATTTTTCCTTAAAAGGAAGTCAGAAATCTAAATGAATTTGTGAAAGCCAATTCAAGGTTTTATAAATGGCCGAGTTATTGGCCCATCTTTGTCCTATGCTGTGTGTAAAGTGTCCCTGTTTGATTGGTTGACTTATTCATCTGTCCCATTATTGTAAGCATCATAAAACTGGAAGGCAGTCTTGTTTTCTTTGACTCTACATTATCTAGCGTGATGTCTGGCATATAGTGGGCACATATAAACTTTGTCAAATGATTCAACAGGGAAGATTAAGGCCTAGATTTTTAAAAATTAAAATTAAAAAATTATTAGGGGCTGCAGAGATGGCTCAGAGGTTAAGAGCACTGACTGCTCTTCCAGAGGTCCTGAGTTCAATTCCCAGCAACCACAGAACCATCTGTAATGAGATCTGGTGCCCTCTTCTGGCCTGCAGTCATACATGCTGTATACATAATAAATAAATAAATCTTAAAAAAAAATGTGTTTGTGTGTGTGTGTACGCGTGCGTGAGAGTGAGAG